AAAATAAAATAAAATAAAAAATAAATAAAAAGAGCTGGGGATGGCTGTAGCTCAAGGAAAGGCCTTGGGTTCAACCCCCAGTACTGGAGGAAGAATGAGTGATAATAATGATCAGACCTGTGGAACATGGAAAGAACTCAAGAAGTATTTGTCAATCAAATTAACATGCCTGAGTCACTCACTGGCATGTGAAAATGAGTGGAAAAGTCTATGCTGACCCATAAATTTCCAAGACACAACAGGGGACAACCAACATATACTGAGGCACCTCTGCAGCATCAAGGTACAGAGGACCAGCAAATACTTGGACTCACTCATCTGAAACTTAGAGAAGACAAGAATGAAAAAGTAGCAAATCATCCTAGCCTAAAAGAACCATGCGCTCACTGCCTACTAACCTAGGAAAGAAAACAGCAGTCACTAACAAGTAAAAACAACACGATCGTTCACCACAAACTCCACATCCTCTTAGGTGCCTGACCCAAAGGCCGTCTCCTTTGCTTCGTACTACAGACACATCCCTTCCCGATTCTTTTGCAGCCGAGGCGGCATGTGCTACAGCGCTAGTCAGTGAGACGTACTCAAAGTCTCCGGAAGACTTTCTGGAAAAGCCTTTACTTTCTTCACTCAGCACCAGTGATGTGCCAGGCCTCACTGTAGGCCTGGACCAGAGCAGTCACTGTTCCTGCCCACATGGAGCCTGCATGCTAACTTGCAGGTGACAGACAAGCGAACAGCAGGGTAAATACACCCAGTGCTGACAAACGCCAAGGAGAAAACAAGGCCATGGAGATGAAGGTCCACGAAGAGGAGCCTGAAGGGAGACTACGCACCAGCGTGCCCCAAGAAAATGTGCAGCTGTGACTGCAGTACCCCAGCCCTCATTTCTTCCTGCCTTGAGCACAGTGCTGGGGCAGCAAGAACCAACCTACACCACAAGGAAAAGACCAAGACAATCACGGAGATGCCAGCTTTCGTGCTTTTTAGCTTCTGAAGCAACAGCAGAGCTATCTACCTCCGTGTTTCTTGACATGTGGTACAATCAAACTCCATCTGCTTTCATCTCTGACAGTCTTCTACTGCTTGCAACTGAAGACATTCATAACCGACACAGTAGTACGCTGAAAGACACTCCCGCTTCTGTTCATCCACCTTTTACCCTTTGTTTCCCAACTATTTTTGCGGAGGGAAACTGTACATTTTTTTTTTTTTTTAATATGTGTGTATGTGTGTGTGTGGCCAGCTCAGCCCACCAGGGGGCGGGGCTGGCTGGCATGTGGTGCTGGGGGATTGAACCGTGGTCCCTGTGCTTTGCTAAGCTTGTTCTAAGTTGGTGCTTTAGACCACTGAGCCATCTTACCAGCCCCGGAAACTATATATTTTAAAACCACATTTTTCCTTTACAAATACATGTATGTTGGAGCTTCAGTGGCGCAATCTGCTAGTGGGCGGTACTTACATGTGGGAGGCTGGCCAGGAGAAGACAGCAGGACCTCAGACACCTACCTCTTCCCTATTGGGCGCATCAGGAGGGGCCGTGGCTGCCACTGCCAACAGCTTGATGGGAGTTGTGGTATCACTGAAAACATCTGACACCTCCTGAGTCATGGCCTCCTGCATCCGGGCTTTCAAGTCCTTAAAAAGAGTGTTTACAAATAAAACTTCCCACCAACACCTCAAAAGCATATCTTCTCACTGGCACTTTCATGCGTTTGGTTTCACTCGATACATATTTATTGGGTGGCAGCTGTGGACAGAACACTGAGCTAGCCCAGGACTCAGTTACAAACCCCAGCCTCTAGGAGACTAATACCTGACAGCTAGGGTAGACACTACTCTCCTGTCCCTTGGGACCATTCTACAAACGAGGAAATTCACTTTTTTTAGGGGCCTCTATGAAATGACACCAAGACTCACAGGGCTGTGCCCAAAGAAGGCCTTGAGATGGGGCTGCTCACTATTTCCAACACTGGAGAGCCCTGATGATGGCCACTAGGGGGCCAGTGCCACATTTCTCAGCAATTTCTCATCTTAGAGAAATCAAGAACAGGATTTAATTTGTTGGAAACACCCAATAGCCAATAGAAGCACAGATTTCTTAACATGAGTCTATAAAAAATATAGAAATTCTTCCTTTTTCATATCTATACTATTTAGTCCAAGTTAAGTTTTCTAGTCTTATGCAAAGAAATCTCCATCACCTTCTTTGTTTCTCAAGGTGAGTAGCATATACTGGAAGGAAACACCTGAGGTGATTTCAAGTGTTACCAGACAAGCGATGTGCAATAAGTATGTGTTACTTTTTTAAAAATATTACAAATAATACACTTACCTTATCAAACCCATGACTTTATGATTATCACAAAGTTTCCTCTTAGATATTTGTTTTAAAATGAATCTATTTTAAGAAAAATACTAAAAAATAAAAATAAAAAAATACTAAGCACAAGTAAATCACAGAGCAAATATGAAAGAGCTCTTGACAGAATGAAATTTGGAAAATATCACTTCAGTTGCTACGAAAAACCCTTACATGTCCATATGTTCTAAGTCACACTCTTTATTTTCCTAAAACCCAAGAAACTATACACCTTTAAAAAGTCTCCCTTTATCTGTCATTCTTCAATAATGACAAGAATAAAATTTATAATGCTAAGTGCTCCCGGGACTGACCTTTAAGGAGTCTTGGAGCTGCGATGCCAAGGCGCTCGCCTGAGGGCTCTCCCCTTCCCCTCGGGCAGCCAGGTCGGCCAGCTGTGCCGTGAGCTGCTCCACGCGGTCACACTTAGCAAGAAGATCTTGGCGATAAGGTCCCATCATGACATTGGCCAGGCGATGCCCTTCGGCCACAAGTCCCCGGATGGCAGCCTGACCTATACCAGGAAGACAACACTGTAAGTCACCTAAACCCAGAGGAGACAGCTTTGATGCCATTCTAGTAACCTTGATTTGTTTTTCAAACACTTAGTAGTGGGGTGGGGTTCCCTGAGAAAAGAATACAAAATAGTATAGTTCGGAGTAAGCCTCACCTGCTTACTCCGAAAAAAGTGTTCTTTTCTTGATTCTTGTTTTTTAACATGAGTATTCCACTTCATTAAAACATTGGAAAAGCATGACGTACGAGTTGGGGTATAGCTTACTGGAAAAGCACTTGCCCAGCAGGAGTGAAGGTCTGTTAGTATTAGAAAATACTAAGAAAGAAAACATGATTTAGCCACGTGCGGTGGCCCACATTTTAATCCCAGTTACTGGGGAGGCTGAGGAAGGAGGATCTTGAGTTCAAGGCCCGCTTAGGCAATTTAGTAAGATTCTGTCTCAAAATAAAAAGAGCTCAGTGCTCCCTGAGTTCATTCCCCAGTACAAAAGAAAAAAAGAGGGGCAGAAGAGGAAGAGGAAGAAATATTTTATCATACTAACTATAACCATTTCACCACTTACTGAACACATATTATATACCTATATTCTTTTTAACACCTCAGAAAGTTACTTAGAATAAAATTCTAATTGCTGAGTCAATGAGTATGAATTTTGTGCAAAAGCCCTTAACTTATAATACTAAATTCAGAAAGTTTATATCAGTTTATTCCTACACCAGTAAGTTGCACATCAGCCCAACTCTCTAGCATCTCACCTACACAAACTATCAATATAAATTTTATCTTGGGGCCAGGGAGATGGCTCAGTAGAATAAACGCTTGCCTGGCAAGCACAAGGGCCTGAGTTCAATCGCCGGTTCTGAAAAAAAAAAA